ATTTAAAAATATTCTATATTTACGTAATGACGTGTACAATTATTTTTAAAAAATAAGTAACTTTCGCATAATTTTTTCTTTAAGTTAATGCACTTTATAACCTTCTCCAAAAAAAAAACTGCTCCAAATTTTTATTTATTTCTCCTCAGGTACAGTTTAATACGCTTACAATTGGCAGCGAACGAAAAATAGGAAAAAATTAAATATATTCTGAACTAGCGACGCTACAAAAGCGCATACTTTCTCGCACTATTCGAAATAGTTACGTAACATTGAAATATCGCAATTCCTGACATAGCACCTCAGCTATAAAATGAAAATGTTCAATTCAACAAATTCAAACGAGGCGCCTCTGGTGAATATTTGCCTTCATTTCGTCAGCTACACTAGTCATTTCTCACTTTTCTACCTTGATTACACTGAAGTGAGCTTTCAATTTTTGAATACCATGATCAGCGATCAATACTTAAAGTGAAGTTGTTAGTAAGTTCTAAGTTAAATTTATTACCTTCCTTCAATCTATTTCCTTTCATTGGAATATCTACAACTCACATTCATCACTGTAGACAATTGGATGAATTGTAAGTTTTTTGAATCCATTGTGTTGCGATTTTGCGAAATGACAATGCGTCAAACGAAGAGTACGAAATTCGAATTTACAATTCAGATTTTTTTGTTGCAATTTTTGAAAATGCAGAGTACGCTGAAAATGGGACTATCGCCACTATTTTTACAGTACGTTGCTACATACAAGGGGGCGGGTACAGAAATATGTGGAGCAGTTTCTGATAAAATAAGTTTAAAATTAATAAGTTCCCAGTTTGACAAAAATATTCATGTTTTCGAAAAATTGAAAATTGCCATTTTCGAAAAATCAGGTCGTAACAGGCATCAGGTATTTTAACGAAAATGAGACCTGCACCTTTCTCTTAAGAGTCATTTACGCTATCCGACAAAATTTAATAAAAAACTTTGCTGCATTACGTTTGAAAATGTTCCAAGAGGTTTCGTGTAAAAAAATTAAATATATGTTTCAAATTCAAGACACTGCGACATCAGCCAGATTGATTTGGAAATATCAATTTTGGTCAAATCCTGCTTACGGTTTAGGCTCTAGTGTTGTTGACGAACGTATGGATGGTCGGAGGGAGGGACGGACGGAGGGGGGGGGCGGACGGAGGGAGGGACGGACGGGCGGAGGAGGGAGGGACGGACGGGGGCGGGAGGGACGGACGGAGACATGACGTCAGTCGATTTTTCGGTATCAAGGATCCACAAAACATGGATTAAACAATGTATTAGAGGATGTAATTTACTATATATAGGGACAAGAAATATCCACTTTTTCGTTACCACGGTCTGACAATAAGTCTTTCTGGTGAAAATTCGCCTTTTTCCCGCAGCATTACAATACTTTCTTAATATTGCGTAGGTAGTAGTGAAAAAGTAAAACTGTCTGGTCACTGAAGGTCACATACAAGTTTTTTTGGAAAAAAACGTTTGTGTGTAGTATTTGCTAGAAATTGACGTATTTTTTTCTCCTAAAAAAACGGCTTAAATAATATTTTTAAATTTTTCCTTTGACAGAGCATTAAACGTTAAAAGAAAGGCGCAGGACTCGTTTTCGGCGAACTATCTGTATTTTAGAAAATTGGAATTAAAAAAATTAACTTTGCAAAACTACATGATTGATGTTAAAGATTTTTCTCTCCTTAAATAAATCTATTCTTTAAATGTAGTTTGAAATAATGTACAAGAAATCTCAGAAGTTTTGAAAGTTGCAAATGCAAATGTTCAACAGTTGGGTATCTACAACAGAACCTACTCAAGGTAAGTAGAATTTGTCTGGGTGATGATTTAGGAGTGAAGTGACGGGTATATTTTCTCAAAGGACCCAGAGTTTGAATCCCAGCATAGAGAAAAAATTGTTTGCTGGTTGGAGTCACTTTTGCAGGTTCATGTAGTGTTGTAAATTTGTATAGTAATTACAAAAATTCAAGAAAGTGTGCTGTTGTGGCACCATCAATTGTTATTGTTAAGACTCAGTCCAAGCTATTTTTGTAAAACATTTTTGGTTTCAAGTTGGATAAATAAAAAGAGGGAAGAAAATTGACTGCAGAAAGAGTGCCTTGCACACATGGTAAAGAAAAGGAACCCATGTGTTTAAATGTAATATATGTTCTAATTTTGTATGCACATAATGTAATAAAAAGTATCAATGTGGAAATGCAGAGGCAGTGGTTTCTTAGATTTATTTCACTTGTTGACTCGTTTTATTATTAATTAATGCATTTAATACAAGTAATGATTTTTTGTTGATTCTGAAACACAGAAGAAAACTTGTTACAACTGACGAAATCAAACTCAATTTTAACATAATTTGTTATATTTATTAACGAAACATTTAAAATTCACCCGCAAATGGTGAACAGAACTCAGCAGACAGCATCGCTTCTGGTGTTTTTGATCACCGTAGTGTCATCCACAAGGAGTTTGTATCCCTTGGACAAACCGTCAATGCACGTTTTATGCGGAAGAGCTCGATCGGTTGCGAAAACGAGTCATCCGCGTGCGACCAGACATCGTTCCTGGAAACTCCACCGTGCCACACCGCGCTGTTGGCGCGGGAGCGGTTGCCTTAATAAATGTGCGTTTACACAGCGCGAGCGAACAAGCGATTCTGAACGAAGGCTCGTTCGTTCGGCGGATGATCGCTGGGGAGAAGTTACTACCCGATTACACCGAGCGAGCTCGCGCTGCCAATGTTTGTTCTGACGGCCATGCTCGCTCGCAGAGGCAGTCCTGCCAAGTGATGTTATTGTGTAACTGTAGTGCAGTTCACTACTACACTACGAGCATGCGACTGCATTTACTTTTCATAGTAAAAATAGAAGATTAGCGACGAAATTTGGGGCTAATTCTTTTTATCTGCTCTCATAAGAAAAGAAAAGTTTCCTGACCAATAAATGGGATTCTGAGAACTGTTTAATGAATTAGAAAATTAATTTTTACATTACTTTTATTGAATTTAATAGCTTTAAATTTTATTTCTTTATAAAAAAATCCGTTCTTACAAGAACGGAAAGAACTACAGATTTCTTGTATGTCCCATATTGCTGTTTAGGTCTGCGACAAGGTCACAATTACTCCAAAAAAATGTGAATTAACTTTTTACAAATATGTGCAATAAATTATTTTTAATAAAACCAGTACTACGTTTTGATTGTACCTTGTATCAAGAGGTAACTCATCCTATAAGGGTTTCTTTAAGCCAATGATTCCCAACGGGGTCGGCACCGACTCCCGGGAGTTGATGACCGGCCCTAGGGGGAGGGGTCAAAATTGATCAAGGGATCGATTGTGGCTCTACAACTGAACATGCACTGACTGATCGATATAAAGATCCTATTTATTACAAAACATATTTATAAATTTTGTTGTTATTATTATTATTATTATTATTATTATTATTATTATTATTATTTCTACTTAAAACACCTGAAAGTGGAAAAAATAATGAAAAGTTTGCTCGTCTTTTGGAATTTCACATTACTCATATTAATAAAATAAAAGGTGAAGTGCTCCATCATAAATCCAATATATTTAATATGTAATTTTGTAATATTTTATAATTATAAGTTTAAAAATAATTCTAGTACAGATTAATAAAAGTATAACCATTTTCCCAAACCTTGTTGTATTATTTGTCAAACTGTTATATCTAAGTCAGTTATGAGCATTTGTTTTTGTATTATGATAATTTGCTGTATTTTGTGTATACATGCTGTATATTACAGCTAAAATTCTAGGGGGTTGATGAAGCAAAACATTCTTTTAAAAAGGAGCGATGAAAGAGAACGGTTGGGAACACCTGCACACAAACACACAAATAAATTTCGTGGTGGTAGCAGATATCTTGTGGTAATCCATGGGGTCAAAAGAATGGTTAAATTGAATCAAATGATTGGCAAAGGTAGAAATGTCTAAATTTTGTTTCCAACATCTAATATGCTCATTAATTCTAACTGAAAATTTTCTGCCTGCTTGACCTACATATGCTGAATTACAGTTATTACAAGTTAATTGATAAATTCCACTTCTTTCAATGGAGGGGATAGGTAATTTGGAACTAGGGAACAAAGATTGGAGGGAGTGTAGGGTTTTGTAGGCTATTGAGATATTGTATTTAGTGAAATATTGTCCTATACGTTTGGATACAGGACCTATATAGGGGATGCAAATAAATTTCTTTGGTTCTATAAGGCCATGTTGAGGAAAAACCTTATTTAAAGTAATTTTAACACTTTTTTGGTGGATAAGTTTGTTGATTGTCAGGGGAATATACCCCATTTATAATTTTAAAATTCTTCACCTAGTCAACAAAGGCACAAAAATGAACATTTTGGGGAGCTTGGAAATTCTAAAACTTTTCAAAAACACTAATTTTTCTGTCTTGAATGAACATTCCTTTATTATTAAAAGCAGTCCCATTCTAAATATTTTATTAACTATCCCCTAATCATTCTTTTGAGTAGTCTTTTTATGACTACCCTTTCTTCTCTTCTTCCCCCACTCCCTTTCCCTTCATTGTTAGGCTTCCTCTTCCCCCATTCAAAAAGATGGCTGCCACCTAGCTGTAACCTCCATGTTTTGCCTTTGACCATTTTTGAACATTCATGGGAGATCCACGTTGCTTGAGCAGTAAGTTATTTTCTTTTTGTATTTATATGATATTATTTGTTTTGCCACTAAATCCACTGTACCCCCCCCCCGTTTTGTGTTCAACTTATGTTTGTTTCATTTCTCCATTTTGCTAGAGATCCACTGAGGATGGGAAAAGTGTTTCCTGAAAGTTAACTATGGAAAATTGTTCATAAAATTATTAAAACTTTTATGGAGATTATTTCCTTTACAATACCATAACACAAATAAACCTACATTGACTTCAGTAAGTGTAAAACAATATATTCTTCATGCAACTTTACCAGAAAGAAACCAACCTTCAAAGATTTGAATCCAAAACGAGCAGCAAGACTGGTGTATACCAAACATTCTCCCAGATTTCGACACGATTTAAGACTTAACTCACGCAAATTAGGACATTTGCTAATTGCCATTAAAGAATGTGCTGTCAACCACTGGCAATCATCAAGAATGAGGACCTAGCAACAAAGAAAACATGTTCTATAAGTAACATTAAAAACAATTTAAACTAAAATGATTGAAAGAACAAAATCTACATACAATAAAAATAATAATAAACATTGATGTCATCTAACATAAAATTCTAGAAATATATATTTTACAAAATTGTTAACATCTTTTTTATATCCAATAACTAAATGAAGGACTGAGGAAGAAGTGGTAGTGAATTGAAAGTGTAGGGTTTATGCAGTTCGAACTAATTGTGTCCTTTATTACATTATCATAAATGTATCAAATTTCATACACCAGTATGGGAATTTGTCCATCCCTAAGAAAACTAATAAGCACATTAATCACCTATTACCTAAATTTAGAAATATAAATGCAATGGTAGTGCTGAGACAAGGCATAGCAGAGAAACAATAAATTCATCACAAAATGAGATATATGAAAGATCTTTTTATTAAGTCATTTTAGAAATCTTTTGGCATGCTTTCCCCATTCACAATGATACATCCATACCAGGAAATAAAATTTTACAGAAACTATAACTAAAAGCCAGATAAAGTGTGGCAGGTGTGAAATAAGAAAAACTCAAATTATAACAAGTGACCAACAAGAGTCACTGAATACGTTGCTCATGTTATGTTTACATAGTTACACGTCTAAGACTTGACAGGATTGAATAATAAGAACTATCTAATATTTTAATTCAAATTCCCCAACATTGAGAAAATAATTCTGTTGTCAGAACCACGCTGAGTTTAGGGTTGTCACCTTCTGAAAGCCCATGGAACAGAGATTTTGAATCAGGGTTGGGAGTCGTAAAATGTAAGTCATAATGAACGTGATTCTAGACTAGAATCAAGATACCAATATATGAATTTCTATTTTTATGAGTACTGACGCAAAATGCCAATATAACACAGAAAAGAAACTCAGGAGACTCATGCGCTTGAATTGCATTATATGGCCTCATGGTGGATTTCAAGATGTTTTGAATTTTGCGCAGTTAGTGTTGAATTTGAAATTTTGAATATTGAAAATTATTTGTTGTAATAATAATTTACATGAAGAAAAATAATTATATGTGAAATACAGGTTATTTTTCTAGTGGTGATTACCTATATGAGACAGAGACAAATCCCGCAATCACATGCACCACACCACATACTTTTGCCAAATAATTCTGAATATTTTTTACAATTAATTTAATTGCTAGTATTAACCTGAGATTTTCCACATTAACCCGGAGATTAATTCTTAAAGAAGCATATAAATTGAGATGAAAAGGACTTTTCACAATAAGTTCATTTATTTGACAGTAAGATACATTGGTATGAAATATTTGTAAAGAAATATGATTTAATAATAAAAGATAAGCAAATTAAAATGTACAATGATAAAATGAAATACACTTATCTCTAAACATCTCTAGAACAAAATTATTTTCCATACTTCGCTTCCCAAAATATGATGAAAACTTCATCTAAATTATGAGGAGGAATCTGTCTTCTCACACTGAAAATCATTTTATCAGCAGAAAGAGTACACTTAATTGTAATATATGACAATTGCTAGTGATAAGAAGAGCTGAACTGCTTTCAATGTATTCTAATAAAGGAAATTCTATCACCTTAGATGACTTGACTGCTTACAAGCTTGCAACAGCTCATATAGATTTTAAAAATAAAAAAACGTAGAGATTAACTGCTGAATATGTATTTTAGGCACTTACAACATTGTAGGCTCTATAAATGTGGTTCCTGTAATATCAAAAAGTAATGGAAATTGTATATAATTAATTTAAAATGTCCACATCAAAAGAGTAAAATAAACATTTGCCTAAAAATCCAATGTCTGGTTATAAATGAGTTTAGAAGAAAGGAGGAGTACGAGCACCACCACCACCGCTACTACTAGTAGTAATAGTACTAGTAGCACCAGTACTAGTAGAAGTAGCACCAGTACAAGTGAGTTGGCACCACTGGTTGCCGTGTTGAGGTGGGTTCGTGTGCGCTCCTCGCTTGTTACGGTCTCTCGACGTTATGGGTTTTAACTGCTAGTAAAAGTTTCTTACTTTTGAGATGAGTGAATGCCTGAAGCACTTTGGCGTCTCGATTTATGCTAGCAAAGCGTAGGGCTCCGTAATTAGGTAGTTATACGTGTTAAAATCGATGTCTCTTGTTAGCGTGGGCTAGCCATCTTGTCCTTGGAATACAGAGTGCATTGTGCTGCCGCTGTGCGGCTGGGTCTTACACTATGATTACCGCCACTAGCACCCCGTAAGATGCGTGAACTAAGAGGCTTCCAGCGTTCCTACCGGAGCGGAGGGTAACATGTCGACCTGCACCTGTCGAGAAGCGGGGGTGGAGGCCGCGGAGGTGTCGGAGGCGCACCCTAACGGCGACCTGTCAGGTGTTGAGAGAAAGGGGATGCCAACCCGGGGACTGGCTCTGCGGTTGTGGCAACCACTCCGCCAGAGGGCGTCCGTGTAAGTGACGGGCCCGACCACGACACGAGTGAGAGCGGAGCCGATTTGGAAATGACTAATTCCAGTGGCGGAGAAAAGGAACACACGGTCGAAGCAGTAAAAATGGAAAATCTGCCGCGTACGAATTACAACGAACTGTTTCGGAACTTGGAGCGTGCCTGTCTCGCATGAACGGGGTGATCGCCTTGACCAAAAACATGCAAAAAGTTATAAAGGAAGGTATGACGGAAGCAATGGCGCTCCTCCAAAGGTTGGAAGGAAATAATACACCTAACCTCCTTATTAGCATTGAAAAATGCAAAAGAGGAGAGGAAAAGCGCATGGTAGACAAAACATGCCAAGTGAAATTATTCAAGGAACTTGGTATGGCGAAGAAACAAAAGGGAAAGAAGCAGGATCAACAGAAGAACGAACTAGCCAGCCGAAATGACCAAGGAAAGAGTCAGTCTTCAGAGCAGGCGGAACATGGCGAAACAAACCAAGAAAATTGCGAAATGGAATGCGATGAAACCTGAGAGAAGGGAGATTGGCAAACGGTAAAATATAAAAAGAAACAGGCGAAAGAAAAGACTACACTGAAGCAGAAGCCGAAAACCGAAACCCGAACAAAAGCCATAAAAGTTATTGCAAAGGATAATATCACGTATGCAGACATTTTCAAGCAGCTAGGAAATAAAGTGAATCCCGCAACTGACGGCGCGGACTTTAAAAATATCCGCAAAACACGGCGGGGAGAATACCTTTTGTCCTCAAAGAAGAAGAAAAACTCGAAGAGTTTCAGAAAAAGTTTTCGGAGGCCCTGACAGACGAGGCGAGCGTCGTTGCGCTGGAAAAGCAAACGACAGTTATTCTTAGGGCGTAATGGAATTCTCTACCAAAGAAGAGATTCTCTCGGCGGTCGCGGAAGAACTCTGCAAGATCGAAATTACCCCAAAGCAGCTCCTAAGAGTGAAGAAGGGATACGCAGGCGTACAGTCTGCAATACTGAAACTTAAGCAAGAGCAAGCGGAGACCCTCTTGAAAAAGAGGACTATCCGCGTTGGGTGGGTGAACTGCCACGTACAGGAGTGGACAGAGGTGCGCCGATGTTACAAATGTCTAGAATATGGACACATTTCGAGAGGCTGCACTAACGCAGACAAAAGCCAGTAGTGCTGGAAATGTAGAAAAAATGGCCACAAACAAAAAGACTGTGAGGAAGGTCCCACGTGCACAATGTGTAATGCTAAAAACGAACCGAACATTACACACTTCCCGGGAAGCAGATGGTGTAATACCTTCCAGAAAGAATTGGAAAAACGACGAGCACAATGCTATACTATGCCGGCAAAGCCGGAATACTAATCAGTAAGAATTTTTTCATCTAAGATTTCTGCGAAGGTAGCGAGGGCTTTGTATGGGTCGAGATAAACAACAAGAATTTACAGTTGTTACTTCTCTCCAAACGACGCCCTGGATACCTTCGAGAGAAATATCGGAAATCTTAAAGATTCTATATCAACGGCAAAAGGAGAAATCATTGTCGGGGGCGACTTCAACGCCAAATCAACGCAGTGGCAATCACCAAAGTCCGATAGAAGAGGGTCGCTTTTAACAGATATGTGCTCACGTAAAAAACTCATTGTGATGAACAATGACGGAGCAGCAACGTTTCGTAGAGGATGCTCCAGCTCAATTATTGACCTGACTCTGGCCAGCAATAGAGTGGCAAGCCAAATACGAAACTGGGCAGTCGTCGAAGAGATCACACTAAGTGACCATATGTATATAGAGTTCTTCATTGAAACAAACAGCAAACGGTCGGGAGAAGCCGGAAACAAAAATAATTTCTCGACGCCATGGAATGTCAAGAAATATAACGAAAGCGCAATGATTGCATTTCTGGAAGAAAGGAAGATCCTCAACGAAATGAGGTGGACCAAGAAAGAAGAAACCCTGAAACACATGCTACGAATGTTATACAAACCAACAAAGAAGCATGCAACATTGCAATGCCCAAAAAACACATCTACACAGGAAACCCATATACTGGTGGACTGGGGATATCTCCGATCTTAGGAAGTAATGCCTTAATGCGAGAAGGAGATATACATGATCAAAAGGATGCCCTTCACTAAAAAGGGAATACAACCAGTGCAAGGACAAGTTGAAAGAAGCCATAAAGGACAGCAAAAGGCGACGCTGGTTCTCCCTTAGAAAAGAGGTTGAGTCCGACCAATGGTGAAAACCTTCTCAGCTGGTGATAAAGAAACTTGGCCTCAAGAGGCAGACGCCAGGACTGGACGATCCCTCCTGGATACTACGAATACTAAGATCGCTATTCCCCACTGAGCAGCAAACGCCAGAGCACACGGCTAGAGGCGGATACCGAAGGAAATTACCCGAAATTTACCGTAGGGGACTCCATTAAGAACATTAAAGCCCCTGGCAGAGACGGTATCCCGAACGAAGCCATGAAAACCATTATCAATTTTACCCAGAGCTTCTGTTGCGTATGTACAACAATTGCCTGAAAAACAAAGT